GCTCCATCATTGCTCAAAGTGACTTATCGAATTCATCATTCTTAAAGATCAAAATCAAAATGGACGATAAATAGACTTAAATGCCAATTGAATCAACCAGTTGTTGTTAATGTGTCAGAACGAAGTCACAACGCGATATTTTTAAAAATTTGACTCATTCAATAGTTTCAAAATTATTTAAATGAGTGAAATAAAATTACACACTCCTGTGTGAATATGAGCCGTCCGGACAGATGAATAGAGACACTATCTGAAAAATGTTTCCATTACAACAGTTCGGCAGAAAAGGGCAAAACTTGAGAGATTTTCTCACTAAAGATGGTGAAATCGCAATGCCAATGTGGACGAACAAAAGAATTGCACCCACACTCTTGGTAACTTTAGCTGACACTTGTTATTTCGACGCTGTAATATTGTTAACTTAAACTTATCCGATCATCATCGATGATTCTTTTCGAAGCACAATACTGGATGACATGAGCTATGCTTGATGTTATTAGTAATCCAATAGGACACTTATATTGCGAATGAGCACGAATGAAACTTTCACGTGACACTTTCTTATTTTAGGAAAACATCGATAAAATGAAATATAAATCGTGTTTTCAAGTTGTAGAAAGTTCATATCCAAACAGAAAGCTTGTTTGTTTTCCTCTTCGATGGACCTGAACTTCAGTTTATTTCCACGAGATGATAGTTTTTGCTGGTGATAATTCGTACATGATCATGAAAACGATCAACACATTTCATGCTTGCAAAACACGGATGTAGTTGACGGATTTTACCCATTTGCATTGGATTTCTATCAACCATTAAGAAATCACACCGAAACCGTTGCAGTCGAGGCACGCATTCAAGTAAAATATGCGCTATTTCAACAAAGTTAATGGTCGCTCGTGAATAACTTTGAAGAGAAAGTTGTTCAAGGGCAGGTACATAGCGCAGAAAAAATTTTACAGATGGAGCATCGGACCAATCTGGCATGGTGATCATCAGTAACTTGAGTTTTTGATTAAAAGGAATCAAAGGAGCGCCAATCGGTGTATTCCTTGACGAGCTGATCCCAATTGAGAGACGAGCAAGATTAGGGCAGCAACTGAGAACATTCGCATAGATGAACGGCCGGCAGCTCATAATACTTAAAGAACGGATACTAGTAGAAAGCCCCCTTGATGTTATTTCCCGAACCATGTATGGAAGAATGCATTTTTCGAGTCGTGGAAAGCCATTGGAGAATATCTCGTTTACTAGTATAGATTTGGGAGAAGACAATGCAATTAATATAAAACAAACATTGAGTGATACTCAATGATGAAACCTACTCAGAATGGAATAAACTTCATCGCTGGATGCATCTACGATATGTAATGAACGAATATGTAGAAAGCTAGTCAAATAAATGTCATTCTGGTCAACATAAATTAATCGTAATCTATCGATACAATTGCCAAAAACTTTTATCAACCGGTCACAGTCGCTTAAAACTCGAGGGACAGTGAAGGCAAGATGGTTGAGCGAGCGTAAAATATCATCAATTCGTTGGTTGAGTCCAAAAAGCGCTTGGCAAATGTGTCGTACATTCAGATAATATATTATCTCGAGCCAAAGCTCATTGGGAAGATCTTCGATTCTGGTATGTGTATCATCGATTGTTAGAGTTTCCTCTTTCCGTAAGAGATCCGGTGATCTAAAAACAAAGCATAAGGATTTAATGACACTGACGAATATTGACTAACCGTCGTAAGATGTCACCCAAGTGATTCATATTATTGTGTGTTGTTTTGAGATGAGATCTAAAATGAATAACGAGGTTCAATCGATTTTCTCAGCCATAGAACAACGAGTTTATACTAAAGACATCTAAATTCTATTCGATGACGACCGAAGATACAAATATGAAAACTAATACAAGGAGTAGTGTAAAGCGATATATACTTAGATATTCATAAATCCAGACAAAATCTCTCTAGAGTCAATTATTGTTCCCCGTTGACTTGATGCATTGTGATATAAAATAGAATACACGCCATCTGAGATAAACAGCGAGTTATTTTCATTGATAAGAACATCTAACTGGCAGGTATGAAGACTCATGAGATCTACGAATATGATTCATTACCAACACCTTATCTGCTATTTTTCTATCTTGCGCATCAATCTTGAGGATGTGGATGTGAGTGTTAGTGTAAGTATAGGTATGGATCCTGTTTTCACACTTACAACGTCAAAGAATATGTGTCTTTTTCAATGATACTAATTTTTTAAAGGCTGCCAAATTTCGTAGGAATAACATTTTGAAGACAAAAAAAACACCCTCCAAATTGATCAAAGTACTCATATGAAAATACTTGAGCACGATCGAGATACTGTGTGCTGAAGGAAAGGAAAAAAAACTTCATTTTTTGTTGAAAGATTGGCTTTGAAAAAAACGCAAAACAAAGTAAAATTTTGTTTTTATACATGTATCTTTCTTCTCTTTTGCTTATTTTAAATGATTACAGATTATCATTTATTTCACATCAAATATGAACATAACGAGCTGTTGCCAAGAAATAATCGTAGAATTAATAAATAATTCAAAGTCACAAAACTGTCATTTAAAAATCCATAGGCTTTTTTTAAGATCAAGGTTCTCAAAACTCAGCTTTTTCAGGGCTTACATGGCTTGGCACAGCTCTGATTTGTACAGCACTTGAGATAGAGAACACTTCAATGTATGTTTAGAAGTGAAAATATCAAAATCGAAAAACAAAATTTTCAGATCAGAAAAGGGGAATCCTCTTAAGTGATTTGTTCTATTGTCGATCAATTTTACAGCATGTTAGACGTTGAAAACAAATAAAAAGATCATGTTGAGTTTGCATCGTAAAATATTTCACTCTCATGTGATATTTAATAAATAATCTTTCGAAAAAGATCAATACTATGATCAGAAATCAGTTGTTTTAATAGTTCTGATTGAATATTAATTTTGAAAATGAATTCTAAACACTCATTATCATCTCTGATCATGAACAATTAAATATCAGTGCATGAATCAAAATCGACTTCATTTGAAAAATTTTCTTAATTGCCTTGATTCTATTAATGTCCATACAAAACATTAAGATGTCCTTGATCGTAAAATTTCATGTGCTCGAATTCTACACAGTTGCTCGTGCATCACTCAAAAAAGAAAGAATTGTTTGGGTGTGGGTGGATGTGGGTGTGGGTGTGGGGTGTGGGGTGTGGGGTATGGGTGTAACTGTAGTACTCGTACACAACCCATTCACACCAATACAGACACCGCACACCCACGCCGACGCCCACACCCACCCATACACCACACCCACACTCATGCACACCCCACGCCCACGCCCACGCACACTCACACCCCACGCCGCCACCCACATTCACACCCCACGCCGCCGCCCACACTCACACCCTAAGTATTCTCAGAAACGTGTAAAAAACATACGAGATCGTTTATATGACATAGTATATCAACAACAGCAGACTTTATAAGTCATCTTTATTGATTTTCAAACATTTAAAACCTGACTTAGAGTAATTTGAAGAGGTTTCAAGGTTCTTAACCATTTTTCACTCGATTTTTCCGACTATGTCAACCTTATTCATTACGGTCGTTTTCACTGATTTCCATATGACAAGTAATAATCAAGTCTTAAAATTCATGAAATTAAGTTAGAGTAAATTTCCATCATACAATGTTACACAAAAAAAGCATGCAATAACTAAAACGATTTGACGTCGCGACAATTAGAATGATGCGTTTTACTCTTGAAATACAATGTTTGTTGCTTCTCATTTTCTAATAAGACATACAACTAGTCAACAATGTCTCAGTTTTGATTCAAAGGAGCAACTTTAACTATGACTTATTCGTCACAGAGAGCATTGAGGATAGGGAACATAAGAACTCTATTGATAGTTTAATCTCAAGACAGATATTTTCAATGAATGACTTATTTGTCATTTCAAAATAAGAAGCAACGTTCTTCTTTATAAGCCAGTACCTGCGTAGAAAACAATTGAAGTTTCTTATTTTGATTATTACTAAGACGTGTAAAGCTATGTTCTGATGAATTTGTCAATTTTCAAGTGCCAAACTAATACTTCTGGCGAAAAGTCTCGAAAATAGTGCTTGAAAAAGGTTTGAAAATACATTTTTTACGAAAGCCTCTTGATCTTGAGACTCTATACCCAAATACTAGTAGAGCCCTAATGATTTACTATCGATTCAATGCTATGTATAAAATATAGAAAAACGTTACATCTACTATTTGAGAAAATTGGGCACGTGAAAATGCATAGTTACTGAGTTTATTCTTTGAAATGAGTCAAGGAAAATAAATGAGATATAGTTGACTTTAGAAAACAATCTTAACTAGAATAGAATTCTATTACTGTTATTATTCTAGCATTAATCAATTGGTATTAAATTATGTCAGCAGAATACGAAATTATTGAGCACCATCATCCCTAGTTTACGGAGATTATTTCAAGCAACTTACAAAAATAGATCAAATTTGTCTACATATGACTCATAGAAGAATGATACCATTGCAAAAATTTGTACACTTTTCTAGACCGATGAATTCTCAAACTATTCTCACATTATACTAACACAAAAATCTTATATAAATCATAAATTCTATGATATTTTTTTGAGAACATTTATTAGATTTTATCGAATGTAAAAGATCATAATTAAAGAAAAACAATGAGGTTTTGCTTCGAGTTTTACCTAAAACCAAGTATCATAAAGAAATGCTCTTTGTCTTGCCACATTGAACAAAACTCAAATATATTCAATCATTCTAAAACTCATTCAATTCTATTTTTCAAGAACTCTGGCACTTTTTCTTGCAAAAATTGGTAATCCCGCTCCCGAAACAGTTGACAACAGTTTAGAAAGTGAAAATCGTCGACCTTCATTCTCAGAAATTGTCAATTTATTTCAATCCAATGCTAAACCAGTAAAGATATATAATACATCAATGCTCGCCCCAACTATTCAACAAGGTGCTGGTTTGGTCAATGCTTTTCAAGCTTTAACAGCTACCACGATCATATCACCAAGTGAATTAGCATTGAATGATACAGTTAGACAAGAGGCTTTCTACAAAATCAAAACATCCAATATTGGTAAAAAAGCAGCCGTGTACAAAGTCAGGCATCATGGAGCTGCATTGGCTACTGGTTTACAGAAAGGAAACGATCAACTTTTGTCCCAACCCATATGCACTGCTGACTATGCTGTGAGTATTATATGAGGAGTTCACGTTAGAGATCAAAAATCTTTATTTTTAAGTAAGACTAATCAAATTTCATCTGTCAGAATCGGTAGTCCACACAAATATGAAATCATAGAAGTCCTATAAAATAGACTATTGTTTGATTGAACTTTCAGTACTTTACTATTACTGTATCGCCTAATATTATGAGATTAACATTAAATAAGTGACGCAAACTATTGAAGAAAAGTAGCAAAAACAGGCTGTAAATTAAAGTAGAAGATCCACAGAATGCCATTTCGGTGGTAAAAGCATCACAAAACTCATAAAGACGAACCTTTGTATTTTCTTTGAATTCTATCAAAATTTTAGCTAAACAAAAGTTGTTTAGTATACTGACAATTCAAGAAGGATTTATTATATTTGTTATCATTTGATCAATATATTTTGTTCTAGGGCAAATCTCAGGAATGACTTTCAAATATTGAGCTCATAGGGTGGATGTGGGTGTGGGGTGTGGGTGTGGGTGTGGGTGGGTGTTGGTGGGTGTGGGTGTGGGTGTGGGTGTGCGTGTGGGTGGGTGGGGTGGGTGTGGGTGTGCGTGTGGGTGGGTGTGGATGCAAGTATTGTCTTCTTATCATGCACATTCACACCCACACCCATATATAAATTCTTAAGAGAGCCACCTAGATAGATTGTGAAACTTCAATTAATCGACAATCACATCAATACTCACATCTACACCCTATCTTTTACGAGCAGTGCCTTAGTGATTGTGTCTCAAAGCTTTAATGAACGCAAGTATTATCATATCCTAAATTTTGTTTTGGTTTTATTCATATAGTATGATCACGTGGTTAGTCGTGTTGGTCCTCATAAGAGAGCGCACGATTTCCGAACGATCCCTGTCTCCAATGTCTCCTATATCTGTTCTATCTCCTATACATTCTAGAGTGACACTACATAGAGTTTCCTGAAAAACCATCTAATCAGGGTAAATAATCAGTAGAAAAAGAATCTTCAGAAAAAGGGTTCCCTAGAAATATTCCGAAGCAAAGAATTCATAACTCAGGTCCATGTACCAAGAATCTCATTTGGCATACCATAAGTCAATATGAATCGTTCTTTGGAAAGCAAGGTTCACCAAGAATATTCATGTAGAGAACATTCGAGTCTATTGTTGGTGCTGCTTGAATTTATATTCTCAATCCTGAAATCATGACTTCTCGGTGCTTGAAATCTTGGTTGTTTCATATCAGCTCTGCTTGCTAAAAACCAACTAATCGTAACTGAGCTATTGCATGGGGTATCAAATCATATTCTCACAGATTGATTTTATATCTAGAGTACACTAGCTACATCCAATGAAATCCACCGTCGAATATGTTTCGCCCAATTAGAAGTATTAACGACTTTTTCTTGACTAATTAGATTTTTTTATGGTACTTATTTCCATGGATATTTCTTTTTCACTGTTTGTCGATAAATTTGGTTTTCTCCTTTCGTTTTCTTTTTCGGAAATAGAGAGTCATCTACATCGAATTGTGTGTATGCTTATTTGCCTTTTCAACTACTCTGAAAGTAGCACGCTCCACCAACCCAAAATAAGAAAATAGTGAAACAAAGCACTGCTCTGAAAAAAATGGTGCCGTACCGAACCATTTTGGTTTCAAAAATCGAAACCTTTAAAAAGGTTTCATAAGAACCTAGGTCTCCTTCAAAATGATTGTCAGCGGTCTAGGAAACTTTCATAAAGGTTTCGTAGATCTTCAACAAAACCCAGAAAATGTTTAGAATTCATTTTAAAAAGTCGAAACCTTTCTTAGGTTTCGTAATATGTACGAAACTATTTTGTAGTTCTGCAGCAAGTACGAAACCTTTTTTCAGTCCACGAAACTCTCTTTGGTTTGGTAATCATAAATTTGTTTTTTTCAGTGTGATACGACTGACAAGATTCCAAAATCTATGTTTCATGGAACGAAACTTAATCACAGGTGATTTCCTATAAAAAAGTCAGCACAGAAATCGTTTTATGCATCAAGATTTACTATATCCGTAGAATCCTTGTAAAAAGAAAGTGGAAAAATTATTTTAACTCTCAGTATTCATTTTTTTCGTTCAGAATCTTGAGGATTACGAAGCTCATATTGAGATTAAAATTCACCCGTTTACAAGAAAATGAGAATAGGAGACACAGAAACGACGAGTCGGAGAGAGTGCATTACAGAGTGTCGACTGCTGATCAGGTATTAGTATATTTATTTCAGATGAAAGACAATTTTTCCAGGAAGATTCACACAGTACTTCATTCTTGCATTGGGAGTATTCGAATGAAACTGCCCAGAATGTGTATCATCCGTGTATTTTTTAAGTCAATCAGCGGCAAATAAATATCTCCAACGGACAAGAGAAACGAAAACACATTTTGGGAATCGGAAGTATCATCGCGGCTTCCTCTGGAAACGATATTGCAAAAAGTCACAACAGAAATGAGCACTTTCAGTCAGACTTTAAACTAAAAAATATATCGTAGAGAATAAAGAAAGATATTCTAGAAATGTCTCTATGAACAAATCAGCAATATTTCGCTTCCTTTAACATATGGAATTCGATAAAAATAGAAATTCAAGGTTTTATTTTTTTAATTAAAAAATAAACAATTAATTCATATTGATTTTTGTAAAGAATCTAGCTCATTTTCGTTGAGTACTTTCCTATAAGATAGAAAAATATACAAGGACTTTCTTTTCTCAAAAGAAAATTGTAGTCATTCTAGAGAGGTGATTGTTTTATAATCTGAAACTGATTATAGGTCAAACATAAGTAATATAGATAAATAAAAACGAAGCGACATAGTTAATCATTATTTTTTCAAAACTCGATAAAAATAAATAGGCGTTGCACAAAATTTTTGATCAAAAGACTTGTAAAAACAAAATGGGAATGAAAATATGAGCAATACTATAGCTGCTACAAACTACATCTATGGAACTGTAATTAACGACGGAATAAACTCTGACGGAAGAGAACAACTATTCAAAAGAACATTTCGAAAAGAAAGAATGTCTCAAAAAGCGTTACTTCATTTTAAACTTAAGAAAATTGCATGAGAAGCAGCATCGTTTAGAAAAACTAAAGAAAAACTAAGAATATTTGCTTTATTTACCGAAAAAACTATTAATTCTAATATTGTCATACTTTCAGAAAAGGGTGAGTAAATCGGTAGATGAGCATTACTTGTAATAATAAGTATGTTAAATTAAGAAAAACGAATTAAAAGAAAAAAGAAAAATAATGAGTGAATAGCAATAATGCAAACAAAAATAGGGCGCCCGTAGAAAAATAAAAATTTTTTATTCAAAATGCAGAGATTAGAGAGATCCTTACTCTGGTGATCGATTATCCTGCAAAACAACTATAGTTTACGGGAAATTTTTCACATTATGTATTTTGTATTAGTTTAATGAGGCTAGAGAACATATGTGAGTTTCACATTTCAGTCCCAAAGGGGCTGCGCTAACAAGCTTTATTTTGTAAAGATAAAGGATTCCTTGATCTTTAAAAACGAAATGATAAGTTTTTTTTTCATTCATTTATCTTTATTTTTTAAAGATAAAGGATTCATTTATCTTTATTTTTTAAAGATAAAGGATTCATTTATCTTTATTTTTTAAAGATAAAGGATTCATTCATCTTTATCCTTTGTTATAAAGGATAGTAAAGATAAAGGGTCAACTCCTATTTATATGTAATGAATATAAAACTAATCTTTTCCTTTTTTAATGTTAAGATTTATATCAATATGATACAAATGGTAAGTTCCAAATAGCACATAGAAAAGGAGTATTTTATTTTGTGTAGTTTGAGGTCCTTATCAATAAGATACAAATGGTGAGTTACACATTATGTGTACAAAATTAATATTTTCTTTTTATATATAGGTTCATATCGATAAAATATAGATGGTCAATTACGTACTACAAGCAGAAAACTAATATTATCTTTTTTAGTTTTAGGTTCCTATCGATAAAACACAAATATTAAGTGGTACGAGGAAACATTGATTACTTCCATCTTTATTTTAGTTGTTTTCTTCCCGCCGTTCTCAACAGATCGTTTTTCGATACTTTTGATAAAGTTTCTATGACGTCTTTCAAGGTATTGAGATCTGTGTTGTCGGTGCCATAGTTTTCAGTTGGCATGTTGTGTTAAAATTTTTCGTGAGCTCCGAAACCTTTAATTCATTTTCAAGATCACTATCTCAAACATTATCACCACTGGCTTTTCTGGGTTTCTGAGAGTTTGGAAAACCTTGTCCAGAAACTCTTCAAGGGTTTTCAGGGGTACGTCTTTTTTGTAGAGAGTATGTCAATTTGCAAAACGACTGAACTAAGAGGATAATATGAAATTTTCAATCACACGCTAATGATCATTTCAGAATGAGTGAATGTAATTGTTCAAATAATGGACAGTGTATGATGAATAATCAAACATCAAATTATTACTGTGTCTGTACTGATTGTACAGGGGGTGAATTTTGTGAAAATCTTTATTACTACGTACAGTATTCAATGTCATCAGGGATGTTAATTGATATTCTGTTGAAAGAATTAGCTTCTACTAGAATAGCATTAAAGATTCTTTTTATTCTCATGTTCTCTCTTCTAACAATGCTATCATTTATTAATAATTTATTAACTCTTTCAACATGTTTTATCGAAAAAATACGTATTACAGTGTGTGGAATCTATATAATACATTATTCTATCTTTGGTTTTCTTGGTGTAGTGCTTTTAGAAATTATTGCAATTGTAACATTGCTTTACAATAATGAGCTAAAGGAACATCCAATAATACACTGTTCAATCATTCCAACGTTTCTTAATCTAATGTACGATATATGTCTATGGCTTAGTGCATGTATAGCTGTTGAACGTGTATTAATTGAATTTTTCCATTATAGTCTTTATCGTACACGGAAGTATTCAGTTATTTTTTTAATTATTCTATTCGTATTCCTTAGTTTCAAAAATGTAATA